GTTGAGGGACTAGGCACGTGAGGTGGAATCCCCTCCCCGATGCATGCGAGTGTACACACCGGGCATAGGTAGATTGCACCGTTTGCAAGCAGAAACTCGGCGGATGCGGCAAGAGCGAGGATCGGAGCAACCTGGCACCAGTGCTGCTGCAACAGGTTCATCCACCAATGGGTATTTTGCTGTTTCAGCTCCTGCGACTGAGAGACTGATTTATATTCCTCGGGAGAGGAAGTGCCCATGGTTCAACGGTAAGACTGGTATAGGTATTGCTGAATGAGTGGAAGAGGTGCAGGTCTGTTTGAGGGTACGACATCTTCCACCAGCCGACCAAGCCCTATTCATCTAAAAGGCGAGCCCAGAGAAGAGATTAAATATCGGCTTCCAGAGGAGAAAGACTATCCCGAAAAGATTTTGACTATTTTACAGGAACTGTATGGGTGTACTAAGTCATGTCTCTCTGCAGGAAGAGTTCTTTTCAAGACGACAGCAGGAGGGAGAAACATTGCAAGAGTTTTCGCATGCTCTTATGTGCCTCATGGCTAGAGTTGTGAAACAGTCCCCTCATGTTCTGCTGAACAAAGATGTGTTGCTTAGAGACTAATTTGTTGAAAATGTGCTTGATTGTTTCTTACGCAGAGAATTAAAACAGTATGTCCACGGCCACCCTACTCCCACCTTGATGGATGTTCGTCGTGAGGCTATATTATGGGAGCGTGGAGGTATGCCAGGGGGCGGGAGGAATAGAAGTTACTCGGTTCCCCCGGCGCTAGGCTTTCAACACACTGTCCAGGAGGTCCCTTTTAGACGTAGTCCGGCAGGTATTGCACCCTATGAATCTGAAATGCAGGAGTTAAAAGATTCTTAAAAGTCAGCAAAAGCAGTTGAATCAGCTCGCAAGGAGTCTTACTGCTTTGAATAGTGCTTCCAAACATATTCTGCCTAACGTAATAAGGCTGTCATTTGCAGACGGTGCCAGAAGGCTGGGCATTTTGCCAGAAAGTGCCCTGGTG